CCCCCCCCCCCCCGCATCCCCACACTTTTTGAATTATTAATGCTATAATAAAAACAAACAGCATTACAAGTGTGAGTAATATATTTTTATTTCCCTTGTTGCTGGGGTGTTTGAAGTCGCCTTTCATATTTGAAGACTTAATTCATCATTCAGTGAATATAGCAGAAGCAGTTTTAAATTTAACACTGAAAGCAACAGTTGCTTTACATTTGGCCTCGTTGATGACCCCCCCCCCCCCCCCTCCTTTTCTCCACAGCAAGAGCTCAGAGCTGCAGCCCTGTTGCTCAGAGCAAATAAAATAAAACATTTGTGACTCAGATAAACCATGTCACTTAATCATTTCACAGTGGTGATATGGCTGTAAATACACGCTACATTTATTTAAGTGGGCCCTCAACGAGCCAGTAAAAAATGGAGGGGGGGGGGGGGGGACTTAACGTGCTGCTCGTCACTTGGCAGAAAAGAAAAAAAAAGTTCACGAAGGTCGCAATAAATCTGTGCAGATGTGCGTTTGCGCCATATTGTGCTCGAGAAATGTATGTGGGTGTGTGAGTGTGTGTGTGTGTGTGTGGGGGGGGGGGGGTCACGCGCATATTGTGGGAGAGAGGAGCGAGAGTGAAAGAGGGGAGTGGGGGGAGTAAACTGAGACAGGGCGGGAGGGAGAGGCGCGCGCACACTGAAGAGAAAGCAGCTCATGGGATAAAAAAAGATGAACATTTTGCTGCTCGAGAACTTGATCAGGAAGTAAAAAGAGAGGGATGAGAGGCGCAAACAGCTGAGGAAAACTAAACCCATTCAACTAGTTACTAACTTTCATAGCATGCAGCTCACACACGCGCGCGCACAAACTCTGATTTCGACAGAAACAAGAGGATAAGTCACTCACCTCTTCCATCTCTCGGTGAAATGTTCTGAGGGAGTGCAGGAGGATGAGGACAAGAAGAACTGACTCTTTTCTTCTTTCTTTCTTTTTTGGGGGGTCCAGATCCCCCTAAAATAAAATAAAAAAGAACGAGCTCCTTCCTGGGACACAGATTGAGGGAGGGGTGTGTGTGCGGTGGGGTAGGAGAAGGATGTGAAAAGCGCCGCTTGAAGCACTCAGCGCGCGCGTCTCTGAACTTGATCAGATCCTCTGTGTCCTGCAGCGAGGCAGCGGCAGCTCTGTGAAACTTGCTCAATGGCAAGGATCTTTTTT